TCATTTCCCCTCCCCGCAGTTTCCCGAGCTCGTTTCGGGTTCAATTATGGTGTTATTGAGCTGGGTTGTTGCTTCGGGGCCGGCTTTTCCTTTTGGTGTGCGAATTTGACGAGTAGTTCTGTAAATTTCGTATCTCGAGCTTCAGAGTTTTCTGGGTTTCGAAATTTGAACTAATTTTTTTAAAAAAATTGGAGGTAAATGATTTTCGTTTTGGAGGGAAAAACGACGGTCGGGCAGTCAGTGGCGATGGGTGCCCTTTTTGTTTGTTTCGTTATCGATTGGGTTTAATCGTTCTTTCTTCCGGGCTTTGTTCGTTCCTTTCTTTCGGGTGTGCTTTTTTTATGGCTGTTCCGGCCGGCCGATGACAAGCCCAACCGAGGGGAAAAGGAATTGGCAGTAGATCTGCTTCAACCCTTCGTTGACCCGGCTTAGCCTGCTTGCGAAGCGCTTGCCCACTTTACCCTTTAACTGCCACGTGGGGGCGCTAGTTGTTGTTGTTGTTGTATGTTGTAACTATCGATTATGGGCCTACGCTATTGGTGAACCCTTCTTGGAAGGCCCGATAGCGATCGAGTTCGTAAGATACTTGCTGGTTGACGGTTGTTCTTCTTATTCATAGAAGAAAAAAGGCGTCGGCTTTAGGCCTGTATGACTAAGACCCGAATGCCTTTCGTATGTGTTTGTCTTTGCTTAATTGCTTCCCTCCCTTTTCTTTCTTTTGCTGTTATATGATGGGTCCTTTCTTCTGTGTTCTTTTTGGTTGCAAGTTGGCGTTAGCATTAGCATGTCTCTTTGGTAGTTAAGCTATTTGTTGGAGGAAACATAAGCTCATGTGGTCTGAACGTGGGCAGAAGTAGTTGGCGATAGCTTATTCATCAAAATGGGGATACTGTGGCTGAGTTATTTGTCAGTTCATTTGATTGCTTCTCGCAGTGGATGTTATACAATCACAATGGATGGTTAAACAATCCTTGTCTGTTCATTCACATTGGTCTCTTAATGTGTTTGTCAACTTTACTACAATAATGTGTTTTACCATCGAATGATGCTATCTTAAAAGTTGAGGGATGTTTTCACTTGTGTCCTAATCTGGGTTCTCTGTGATATTATTTTGCGCATTGGTTGATGATGAGGATTTGCTGCTCACTTACAGCTACAGTGTATTTCATTGTGGTACCTGAGATTTTTGCTGAATGATTGAAGTGAATCTGTGTTTTGTTCCATAAAGCAGGATTTTAATTTGGTGAGAGAGAATGACACCTGCTGAAGAAAGTAGCACTGGACTGTCAGACACTCCAGCTCCAGCTGTTGAGGGAAGCAAGCAGCCCTCGTCCCCTCAAGCAGGAGAAAAGAGTGTAGCAGCCCCTGAAGAGAATAATCAGACAGTGCCATCACAAGATGAGACAATTGTGTCAAAGGAAGAGGATAATCAAAAGGTGGTTCCAAAAGTAGAGGACAACCAAAAGGTGGCGACTCAAGAAGAGGATAATCAGAAGGTGGCATCACAAGAAGACAGTGATAAGATGGAGTTGCAGGAAGAGAAGAACCAAGAGTTGGCAGCTCAAGATGACAACGATAAGATGGAGTCACAAGGGCAGAACAATGAATTGGCACCCCAAGAAGAAGATCCAAATCAGAAGCCTGTAACTGAAGAAGGGAGCAACGACCAAACAGATGTGTCACAAGATCAGAGTAATCTGACATCAGTCCCAGACGAGCAGACAAATCAGGAGTTGCCATCACACGAAGAGAACACCCTGGAACCGGTGCTACAAGAAGAAGATAGCAGTCAGAGGTTGTCGCCACAAAAAGAACACGATCAGACATTGGTATCACAGGAAGAGAACAGTGGGATGTTGGTGCCACAGGAGGAGTACAAAGAGACCGTGGTGACCGAGGAGGAAGACAGTGAGATGGCAGAACCCCCTCAGGAGAGCAGTCAGATAGCGGTGCCCCAGGAGAACAGTGAGATGGTGGTTACAGAAGAGAAGAGTGAGCTGGTGGTGCCGCAGGAGGATCACAATGAGATGGGGGTACCAGAAGTAGAGATGACCGAGGTAGCCGAACCCCAAGAGGATCACAATGTAACGGTGGTGACTGAAGATGGGAAGAGTGAGGTGGTAATGCACCAGCAAGTGAACAGTGAGATTCTGGTGTCTGAGAGTGAGAACAGTCAGAAGGTGCTGCCCCAGCAGGAGAAAAGTCAAATTATGGTGGCTGAGGATGCGAACATTGATGTGGCAGCCCCCCAAGAGGACAGCACTCAGTTGGTAGTGCCCCAGGAGGAGAACACTCAGATGCTGACATCACACGCCAACACTCAGATTGATAACAGCAGCCAAATGATGTTGACACACGAACACCACATGGTGGTGTCTCATGAAGAGAACCACCACCAGATGCTGATGCCACATGATGAGAACAACAATGATCATATAATTGAATGCAACCATCATCACATGGGCGACCAGCTGATGCTGATGGAAGAAGATAACCACAACAACCAACTGATGATCCATCACGATGATGATAACAACAATCAGCTGATGCTCCCCCATGATGATGAAAACAGCGACCTCGTAACTCCCGACTCGCGGCCCAACAAGCGAAGGAGGAAGAAGTCCGTGGTCTGGGAACACTTCACCATCGAGACAGTTGCGGATGGATGTAGAAGAGCTTGTTGCAAGCAGTGCAAGCAGAGTTTTGCATACAGCACGGGTTCCAAGGTCGCTGGGACCAGTCACCTGAAGCGCCACGTAGCAAAGGGCACTTGTCTAGCCTTACTCCGGAACCACGGACATCCTGAAATGCTGACGTATAATAATACCCCTGGAGGTTCAACTAGCGACCCACCAAAACGCCGGTATAGATCTTCCTCATACTTCGCCTTTGACTCTGACCGGTGCCGCCATGAGATTGCAAAGATGATCATCATGCACGACTATCCACTTCACATGGTTGAACATGCCGGATTCATGAATTTCGTCTCAAACCTCCAGCCTCGATTTGGAATGGTGAGCTTCAACACTGTCCATGGGGATTGTGTTGCTACTTACTTGAGGGAGAAGCAAAACGTGATGAAGTTTATTGAAGGACTCCCAGGACGCGTTACCCTTACTCTGGACACGTGGACTTCCTGTGATAGCTTAGGCTATGTGTTTATCACTGGGCACTTTATTGATAGTGATTGGAAGCCGCAGAAGAGGATGCTGAACGTAGTGATGGAGCCGTATCCTGATTCAGATGCTGCCCTGAGCCATGCAGTGGCGTGTTGCCTTTCTGATTGGAGCTTGGAAGGTAAACTATTCTCCGTCACTTTTAACCACCCCGTGGGAGAAGCTGGTCTCGAAAGTCTTCAATCTCTGTTGTGTATCAAGAATACACAGATTCTCAGCGGCCAGCTGGTGCTCGGCAACTGCATCTCTTACACCTTGACCAGCATGGCGCAAGAGTTATTGTCAGCATGTCAAGATCTTGTGTCGAAAATCCGCGACAGCGTGAAGTATGTGAAGACCCTCGATTCCCACCAGGCGAAGTTTCTTAAGCTCAAAGAGCAGCTGCAAGTCCCAACTGAAAAGAACCTCCGACTCGACGACCAGGCTCAGTGGAACACGACGTATGAAATGCTGCTTGCTGCTTCGGAATTGAAAGAAGTATTTTCATGCTTGGATACCTCTGATCCTCACTACAAGGAAGCACCATCGATGCTGGAGTGGAAGCAAGTTGAAACGATTTGCTCACTCCTGAAATATCTGGTTGATGCAGCTAACCTTCTCTCATCCTCGACCAACCCAATTGCAATAACTTTCTTCCATGAAGCCTGGAAGATTCAAAATGAGCTTTCTCGACTAGCTGCTATCGGAGATCCTTTCATCAACAACTTCATCATAGGACTGCAGGACAAAATCGAGAAATATATCAAAGATTGCAGCTTGGCTTTAGCAGTTGCAGTAGTGATGGATCCTCGGTTTAAGATGAAGCTGGTCGAGTTCAGCTTCTCGAAGATATATGGTGACGATGCTCCTGCATACATAAAGATCGTCGATGATGGGGTCCATGATTTGTTCAAGGAGTACGTGGCGCTGCCTCTACCACTGACGCCAACTTACGAAGAAAATGCAGACCCCAATCTAAGGAATGACGAGAACCAGCTGGGGGCAGCTGTGGACAACGGCCTGGCAGATTTCGATGTGTTCATCATGGAGACCACGAGCCAACAGACGAAGTCGGAGCTGGACATGTACCTGGACGATTCATTGCTCCCGAGAGTGGCGGATTTCAGTGTGCTGGGATGGTGGAGGCAGAACAAGATGAAGTATCCAACACTGTCGAAGATGGCTCGAGACATACTGAGCATTCCCGTGTCTACTGCAACAGCGGAGAACGTGTTCGACACTGTGCTGCCGAGAGAGATAGATCGGTACAGAACCTCATTGAGGCCCGAGACTGTCGAGGCACTTGTGTGTGCTAAGGATTGGCTTCGTCATGGGGCGGCTGCGGCAGCAGCAGGTGTTGGACCGAGTGAGTTAGTGGTGAAGATGGAGTTTTAGGTGTGGTAGGAATGTATGAGAGCTTATGTGAGTAGTGATTATGGCTCCTTTCTTTTGTGTATCATTAGTTGGACAAGGTAGTAATGTAGGTTGGGTCCTGGATTTGTAATTTTGGTCGATGGAAGGTGTACTTCATTTGCTAATGGCGTTGTTACGCTTGTGTAGCTAATGGTTAACTCAGACTTAATGTTGTCTTAGTGTGTCTCAGCCTATTGATTTAGACTATATTGATCACTATAAATGTGATATTCACAAAAAATGCGATATTGACTACATTGATCACTATAAATTTGAGTAACATTAGATTTAGAACTACTAGATAAAACCTACAATACGATACATACTCTAGTTAAAACTTAAAAGTACCAAATACACAAGAGAAAGCAGCAGAAAATTCTAGCATCCTGAACCGATGTCAATTGGAATCTGATTCTGATCCACACTGAATCCCTAATTCTGGTATCCTGCAGAAATGGCGGTCTCTCCCTCCGCAGAACTGAGAGTTCTAAGGGTCTCCCTGATGTCCAGAATCCTGGAATGCGAAAAATCTCCTTTGGTGAACTTTTCAAAAGTATCATTCACTTCAACCATGCTATGGCCTGGCTCCTTCTTCAGGCCACTAACCTTCAGCAACTTCTTAGTCTCTGCGACACCATGCCACTTCTCATCCGTGGCATACAGATTCGACAGCAATACATAAGGCGAGGTAGTCGCAGGCTCGAGTTTCAGAAGCCGTTTACCTAGTCTTTCTCCCATGGGAACTTCTCCATGCAGAACACACGCAGCGAGCAGACTACCCAGCACAATTGGATCCCCGCCAAACTCAAACCTTTCGATGTAATCTTCCGCCTCCTTTAATCTCCCAGCCCTTCCCAGCAGATCGATGATGCAAGAGAGATGCTCCGTCTCAGGAAAGATCCCGTAGCTCTCAACCATGGAATCAAGGCACAGTTGACCTTCTTCCACCAACCCAGAATGATTGCAGGCCGTTAAGAGAGTGAGAAATGTAACTGAATCTGGTCTCATTCCCTCTGCTTTCATGTCCTGGAAAAGCTCAAGCGCCCTGTCTCCAAGCCCGTGATTCCCATATCCAGCGATTATGGTGTTCCATGAAACCAGATTCCGGCTGCAGCCCATCCTGTTGAATGTGTTGTATGCATTGACTATTGAACCACATTTGGCATACATGTTCATAAGGGAATTACTGACGCCAACGTCATTATGCAGCCTTGTCCTGATCAGATGACCATGAATCTGTTTACCATGTTTTAGTGATGCTAGCCCTGCACAAGCAGCAAGAGCACCAGAATAGGTGAAATCATCGGGCTTCAAGTCGTGATGATCAGCTATCATAACTCGGAGTACTCTTAGTGCTCTCACGTGATCGAAGCAATTAGAACAAGTGCTCAAGATTGTGTTCCATGATATCAAATCCCGGTCTTTGATTGTTCTGAAAACTTTCTCTGCTTCATCTATCAGCTTGAAGCTTGAGTACATCCCAATGATTACATTGCCAATGAAAGCAGAAGACTCCAAATTCAGCTTCATTGCTTGACAATGCAATGCAGCACCATTGTGCTGATCAGTAGAATCACTGCAAATTTTCAGAATTCCAGCGAATGTGAATTCGTCCGGGAAAAGACCCCGTCGTTGCATCTGGCTGAAAACTCTGAACCCATCAATGGATTGACCATTATCAGCAAACCCAGAAATCAAAGCATTGTAAGAGACGAGGGTAGGGTCTGAAACCCCAGAGTGGACCAATGACCCATCACTGCACCGACCACATTTCATATACATCGAGATGAGCGCATTGGCCACAAAAGAAATGGAAGTACAACCCAACTTCAAGGATTGAGCGTGAAGTTGCTGCCCCTCGACCAGCGCCGCGAGACCAGCACATGCGCTGATGACACTGGCGAATACATACTCGTTGGGGAGAAAAGAACACATCTGGGAATAGAGTTCCAGTGCCAACCAGTGTTCGGCAACCTGGTCATAGCCAGAAATCATGGCCGACCAGGAAACAAGGTTTCTCTGCGGCATTTCGTCGAACACTTGTCTAGCAGAGGACATCTTCCCGCATTTGGCATACACGTTGAGGACATGGTTGGATACCACGACATCCGAATGGAGGCCGGACTTGTAAGCAACGGCTTGGAGGGCGAGACCTCGACTGTAGGCCTTCAATTTCGCGCATTGATGCAGCAAGAGGCCAATGGCTCCCGTTGTGTGAGACATCAGTCATCCTCGAGTTCTGAAGAAATCAAAACGCTGCTGCTGCTTCAGTCGGTTATCCTTCTCTCCCTGACGATGAAGATAGCCGGTCGAAGAGACCGACGGCAAGCCGGTAGCGGCGGCCGGCAAGAGTAAACGAGACAATAATCAGGCAGAGAGAGAGAGAGAGAGAGGTTGAAGAAGTGATGAAGAAACGGAGATGGAGTGGGCCTCTACTGTATGGGCCTTTAGGTGTTTCTTCTGCATCTCATCGGCCCGCAATTGCAAAGCCCAATTGCGGCGAAGCCTATAAAAACAAAAATTAGGGTGTTTCACTTACGGTTCCGTAATCCTTCTCCACAATACAAACGGAATTAGCTGCCTGCAAGTTCTCCCCAAAAGCCCTAGAAAAAGCCAATCCCTTCCTTCTGCCTCCATTGCTTCCGCTCCGCTACTCTCTGCAACACCCGGAGATCTGTTCTGATTGCCGCTCTCCGCGTTTCGTTGTCCATCGCTGTTTCTTTCGGTATCTTTTGGAGGTGCTCTTTTCTGCTTCTTCGCGTGTTCGTTATTGTTCCCGTTTGTTTTTGTTTTGTTCGCCGTAGCGGGAAAAGGTCCCGATCTTGCGATTCTTGTTGGCTGATTACATTGCTGCTGTTTATTTGATTGGTTGATTGGTGGATTAGTTTTGATTCTGTGCTTTTGAGTAACGGATGCGTAGGGTTGATGGGCTCTTCGATGTATGTTTCCGATTGTTGTTCTGTAGGGCGTGATTGTAGATTTGTATTAGGGTTTGGTGTGATATTTGCAAGATTTTGTCGAGGTGAGAGAGATTGGGGAATCTGGTCTTTCTTGGTAATGGGGTATTGTTTTTCCGATCATCTTTTTATTGCTTTTTGGGGTCTGTGTTCTGAGAGTATTTACTATGCCATTGATGAAAGAGGAAGCCACAGGATTGGAACCCGCTTGTTTACTTACTTCTGTGGTCTGTATGATAATTGGTGCATAAATGTATTTTACGTGTTAATTCATACTTGATTGGGACTAAGGAGTCAAGAATCCAGTTTGCGCAATTTTGGTTTTCAAAATCATTCGTGTGTTGGAAAACCTTATCCCTTTCTTGTGCATTTGAAGCAATTGAATATTCTTAATTTTATATGTCTTCATTCTCGATCTGACTTCATCTATGGATGTTAGTGTTTTCCATTTCATTTTATTTAACTTCTTGGCTGAGAACTGTTGTTTTTTTTTTTTTTTGTTCAGGAGCTTTGCTGGAAGTGTGGCTGCAATCTGCAGATTGTGAAAGTGAGAATCTTTTATGTCCATACAGGCCATTTTCATCCCGGTAGACATTGGATTGCTCGGTAATCGTTGTCTGCTTTCAAGGAAAAAGGAGCGGCCTCTGTTGCATAAAAAAATCAGCTGCATGCATACTGGGCCATTTAACAAACACACAGAACTTCATGGTTGCTTCTGGATGCAACCTTTGACCAAAAGAGTGAAGTCTTTTCTCGCTGAAAGATCTTTGGCAGGCATCAGCAGCTCTTCGTACCCTCTGGAATCCATCCGTTTCCCTCAGCAACTCTAAACAAGTCTGAACTTTGATTTACCGTTGTTCGAGACAAGATGGCGTTGCAGAACATTGGTGCTTCAAACAGTGATGATGCCTTCTACAGGTATAAGATGCCTAGAATGGTTACCAAGATTGAGGGCAGAGGTAATGGCATCAAGACAAATATAGTCAACATGGTTGACATTGCAAAGGCTTTGGCTCGGCCAGCTTCTTATACCACCAAGTACTTTGGCTGTGAGCTTGGTGCTCAATCAAAATTTGATGAGAAAACTGGCATTGCTCTTGTGAATGGCTCACATGAGACTGCAAAGCTTGCTGGACTTCTGGAAATCTTCATAAAAAAATATGTTCAGTGCTACGGCTGTGGGAACCCAGAAACCGAGATACTCATAACCAAAACTCAGATGCTTCAACTCAAGTGTGCTGCCTGTGGATTTATATCTGATGTGGATATGAGAGACAAGCTGACCACTTTCATTTTGAAGAACCCACCGGAATCAAAGAAGGGGTCAAAGGACAAGAAAGCAATGAGGAGAGCTGAGAAGGAACGGCTAAAGGAAGGTGAGGCAGCAGATGAGGAGTTGAAGAAAGTGAAGAAGGATGTCAAGAAGAAGGGCACAACTACTACCTCAAAGGATGTCTCATCCAAGGCTGCAAGTACAAAGAAGAAGGCAAGTGGATCTGATGAGGAACGTGTGTCACCTACACATAGTCATGATTATGAGAAAGAAGACCACGATGATGATGGTGATGATGACGACGATGTTCAGTGGCATACTGATACATCTGCCGAGGCAGCCCGCCAGCGCATCCAGGAACAATTGAGTGCTGCTACTGCTGAAATGGTTATGCTTACTACCATTGAAACCGAAAAGAAGGCCAAAGAAGCTGCCAAAGCCAATGGCACCAGCCCTAAAAGTGCTGTTTCTCCTAGGGCCGAGGAGAAATCCAAAGAGAACGGGAAGACGAGTTCTACCAGTTCTCCAACCAATGTGTTGAAGGAAAGCATCGGTAAAGGAATCGCTGCTAGCCAGTTGCCCGGTCTTCTGGATTCACTGCCTGGTTCAGGTCAGGAAAAGATGGATGCTTTATTTTTGGCCTTGTTCGATGGTGTTGAGAAGGGACTTGCGAAGGAAGTGGTCAAGAAGAAGAAGTATCTTGCCGCTGTTGCAGCCCAGGGTGGAGATTCACAGCTGCTTCTACTTGGTTCCATCCAGGGTTTCTTTGAGAAATCTGGTGCAGGGAAGGAGGTGGCTCTTGTTCTCAAAGCTCTGTACGACGCCGATGTGCTAGAGGAGGAGCACATTCTGCAGTGGTACGGGAATCTCAAGGGAGGCAACAAGGAATCCAAGATCGTGAAGAGTGCTGAGCCGTTTATTGATTGGCTCCAGAATGCTGAATCCGAGTCAGAAGAGGAGTGATTTGCAGGGGGTGTTCTGTCAGTTGTCGTAGTCACTGATGCTGTTGTTTGGGGTCGGCAGTTGTCTTGAAGAATAAAGTGTCTGTTGGGAACGCTACACTTGTGTGTCTTTTGTTGTTTCAAACTTCTTTCTTTAATGTTGTTTGGTGTTCTGATTGGAATAACTATTGTGTTTTTGTTTCTTAAGCTACAGTATGTGTCTTTGAAGTTAACATTGTCTATGGGAATTTGTGTTTTGGCGCATCCTATTTTGTCAGCCTCTTCCTCTGTTTACTCTTCTTGATGCTGAATGGTTTGATTTACGTAGGATGAAAGCAAACTTGTTCCTCTATGGCGGCTTTCTCATCAAACAAGCAAACTCGTACCTCTATAAATAGAATATCACAGTCTTCAGGCTCCAGCTTATGTTGCAGAACAGTATTGAAATAGTGCATTGATTTCACTCAAAGCCTCGTGATTCTCTATACCAATTAACTTATATATTCAAGTCACTGCTGATCCTTTGTTATCAAGCTTGTCATTGATCTGAGTCTGACGCTATTGAAGGCGATAACAAAAACTGTGATATTGTTTGACCCCAAACAAAATGTAGTGCATTGTGGATGTAATCATGCTTTTTGTGATAAGGATACTACTAAAGGGATTCGATTATAGGACTTCCAATGTTTGGGTTAGTGGTATTACCACTATACCATGCCCGTATTTGTAAATTATTGTTGTATTATTTAGATAGATTTGTCTGTGTTCTTTTGGGAGCCACCTGCAATCAATTCGACGCCAACAAGACTTCGCCCCCAGCAGCCTTGTACCTTCGTGAACACCAACGAGTCTCACTTGGATTCGAACCTGAGATCTGCAACTCTCAAACCTTCACTGTCACGAGAGGTTTAATGTTAGACTATCATTCCTTGGTAATTTTTTTTTTGTAACCTGTCAATTAGTTAATTACCAAACCCAAAATATTTAACTAATTATATAGGACCATTTACTATGCTAACCCTACAGGAGTTACCACCATACTAATCATGACTTGTACTACTAGTCCATGTCAGAGTTGTAGTACTACAATTGCAAAAAACGTTGAATACTACCGTCAAAACAATGACTCCAATTATAAATGCGTCAGATTCATAATCCTACAAATTAAAACTACGACTATAACGACAAAAAAATAACAACAATAATTACAATTATAATAGTACTACTATAGTACTATTATTTACAATTAGCAAGGTTGTCAAACCAGTATCCGGTCGGGCAACCTGACCGAATGAAACCGATCATATGAACGATTTGAATGCAGTCTGATCGGTTCTAGGAAACACTCAAGATCGGGTTAAGCTAGCCAAAACCGAATGATCTAGCCTATCAAAATCGAGTTAAACAAGTCAAAATCGATTTTGAAAACGAGGTTTGATTATTTTGTAATATATATTTCATTTGAGAAATAATTTGATAATATATGAATGTGAATTAATAAGATTGTTTTAAAATATGTTAAATATATGCCTAATTTATTGGGTATTAGAAATCTTCTCATATTTTATTAAAACCAATTTAAATGGGTTTAAATCAATTCAACCATTAAACCTCAACCACTCATCAAACCAACTTGATGGCTTATTCTATTTGACAACCTGTACTTTCTCCTTATCCTTGGGTTACCAACCTAATTAGGGGTGAAAATCGGTACGGTATAGATATCCCAATACCAAATAGCGAAATCCCGAATACCGAATTACACCCTAAAGTCAATCCCAATCCCAATCCCTAAATAACTTCGGTATCCCAATCCCAATTCCTAAATATTTCGGTATCCCAATCGGTACTTCGGTATTCCAATCGGTACTTCGGTATCCCAATCGGTATTCTCGAATATGAAATTAATTACCTTTGCAATTAATAATTAAATATATAAATTAGATTTGATTGTTTAATATAGGACAAAGAGACTAAGCAAAGAGTTTTGAGCTTGACTAGTGCTATGATATGGATAAGAAGAATGGAGGAGATGTGACATCTCAAGTTTTTGTCATTGGTAATCTTTAATTTGACGAATTGGAGGCCGAGAGAAGACTAATACTAGTGTTTGCTTTTTGGTATTATAAAAATAACAAGAGATTGGTGGTTGAGGGTCGTGTAGTAGTGAATGAGAGAGACTAGTTGAGAGGATAAAATACACGCTAGATTATATTTCGGTATTGTTCGATATTTCGGTATATACCGATCTCAATCCCTTAATTCCTAATACCGAATAACAATTGAAATTGAATCTCAATCCCAATAAATAATACATATATTCGATAATCTCAAATATAGACAAAAACAATATTGTATTCAGTATATCTCAAACACCGTTACCAAACTCCCAGCCCTAAACCTAATTGATCCCAATTATAAGAGGAAAAGGATTTCTGCTCCGTAACTGAAACGGGCCGGTACGCCTTCTCTTGGGTTATTATATATAAATCCAGGCATAAGTTGGATCGCTCCAAAGTCCAAACAGTTTTCTGGTCCAATAAGCCACTCGCCCCAAGCCCAAAATCCTTCCGGTCTCTCGCAATACGCCTCGCGGGCTTCTGCAATACTAACCCTAGATCCACCACCGGCGAATATCGCCGGAGCTCGGCCTCCGGGCTTCGCCCCATCTGACCTGATCGGACATCGCTTGCTGTGTCTCCCGTCTCTCTCGCCGCAGGTAAAATCCCAATCGCTCACCGTAAATCTGTTCTCCTTATTTTCTATATAGTTTCCTTGCGCTGTATATTGTTCGTATTCGTTGAATTTGCCGTCGAATTTTCCCGCGAAATTTCTCTGGCGGGAGAACTGAATGATTTTTCCGCGATGCGTTACTGGGGAACCCTGGTTGGTTTCATTCATGGTTGTGGTTTTCCGGCTTGTCGGATTGGTTTCGGGGTTGCGATTTTTAGGGGCTAGCTCCTTATGCCCTCTGTCTCCCGCCGTTTTGCTTCACCGGCGACTCATCTTTCCCCTGTTTGTTTTTGCTTTTTGTTTCCGGCGGGCAAAGTTATGTGGTGTTGCATTTTACATTCACCATGACGAGTCTACATATTTGAACTTCTCTGAACGATTCGAGTTGATGGGATTACTCGGTTCTTGTGATTGATAGTGAAGCCTTTTTGTAATCGACGATGTGCAAAATTCAAACCCGATTTAAATGTGAAGATACATATTAGTACGTGGGATAAGATCTATTCTTAAATTTTTTCTTTGACACATGCTTAGACATAACATTCCAAAGCCCCATCTAAAGTTGAACCCCAAAGTAGTAGAAGCATGCTATTCCAGTATTCCTTCCATTGATGCATCAAAGCTTTGCTCGATCTCTTTTGGTGGTTCATCATGTGCTCAATTTTCTCGTCGAAAAGCTATTGCTTTCTGTTTCTAATTGTTCTCCCTCCCCACTCTTAGACTGACCAAAGTAGTAGCATGCAATTCCAGTATTCCTTCCATTGATGCTGCAAAGCTTGCTCCATCTCTCTTTTGCTTGTCCTTCATGTGCCAAAGTTTCTAACTGGTTAATTTCTTGGTGTTGCTTGATTGATTGGCCAGTGAATCAGTTTCTGCTGCAAAAAAAGAAGATGGAAATCAACAGTCTCGTGAACCGCCTGTCTCATCTCTGCATCAAGAACCCACACATCCTCAACGTCCACCCATTCCTCGGGCAATGCATCCCCCATCCTTTCACCTCCATGGCGAACGACGTGCTCTCTGCAGGACGCGACATCATTCAGAAGATCCGCGACAACATAACCTACATCATGACTTCTGAGAGTCGCGTGGATATGTTCTTCATGCTCAAACTCCAGCTCCTGGTCCCCGGGGATGCAGGTTTGCTCTTTGAGAAACCGAGCCAGTGGAGCACGACGTATGAGATGCTGCAATCCGCTTGGGACATGAAAGAAGTCTTCTCCTGCTTGGACACCCTCATTCCTGAATACGGAGAAGCCGATGCTCCAACCATGGAAGATTGGAATCGGGTTGAAATCATCTGCAACCACTTGAAGCCCCTCGTCGATGCAACGAACTCGCTCGTCTCCTCCTCCTCCTCCCCCCCTTGCCCTCCTGCTGCCACATTGTTGATGAAGGCCATGGGTGTCCACTTGCAGATTGCTGAATTTGCAGACAGCGGCGATCAGTTCGTCCGCAGCTTCGTCGAGCCGATGCAGGGGAAGATGGAGGAGTACTGGAAACAATGTGGTGTGGCTCTCGCGATTGCTGTTGCCATGGATCCTCGCTACAAGATGCAGCTCGTGGAGTTCAGCTTCCCCAAAATCTTTGGCGACGAGTCCTCTTCTGTCTACGTGAAGATGGTCGATGATGGGGTTCATGAGCTCTTTGCTGAGTACCTTGCAGCGCTTTCTCCACCACCTCCATACGCAGCTAATTACGGCTGCAGTGGGGGAGGGAGTGTTTCGGAGCACGGGCTGGCGGATTTCGATGTGTTCATCACGGAGACGACGACGAGCCAGCAGCAGTACAAGTCGGAGTTGGACCGGTATCTGGACGAGTGGCTCGAGAGTAGGAGCTCCGATTTGGACGTGGTGGAATGGTGGAATCGGGACAGTGTGAGGGCGAGGTACCCGACGCTGTCGAAGATGGCGATGGATATCTTGAGCATACCTGTGGCTACTGCTTGATGGTGTGTAGGATCATGAAATTGGAGTTCTAGGAGTAGGAATGTAGGATACTGTTCTGTGGTTTGTGTCAAACTTTTGCAGATTTTTTTTTTTTTGGGTGCAGATCCTATGTAGATGGTGTTTATTTGTTTTGGTTTGGCATTTTGTTGTTCTAGTTGGTTTTACTTTTTAGTAGGAGATTGGTTGTTATTAGTTAATGATCGGTTAGGTTTAGTTTGTTAGTTTTTGGGAAAATGAGTGATTTGGTTAATTTTTTGTGTTTGTGGAAAATCTTGGGTTTACTAGAGTTCTTGTCTAATATGGATTTGGGAAAATCTATTGTTGGATTTGATGATTGATTTGTGGGTATGAACTATGAAACTCAATTTACTCTAATGCCCTCATTGGATAATTTGTAGAGTGGGAAATGTGAAAATTATAAGAGATATTTTTTGTAATTTATCATCATAGATTTGTATCCCATTATCCATTTTCCACCTTTAAACATAAAGATTTACGAATCGGTGAAACTCGTGGATTTACAAACCCTCCAAGTTTGTTGACAGCATATATTTGACACTCCATAATCCACTACACAAACTATTGAATTAACACAAACCCAAAATGAATTGGATTTGTTTGGACATAGATGCCTAAATATGAGTAGAACTTCTTGTTGCATTCAAAACCTTTTTTTATAGATAAGGTTGATATGCTACATTCATAATCTTCCAACATAAATTTCGAACTACCCTAAAAGAGTAAGAAGTCTTAATAAGAAGCAAATACCAAAGATTAAGGAGCTCATATGATAAATGATAAAGGTAAACATAGAAATTCGGGTGATAGCCAGTACATAGCTGTTATCTTTCTTGCTTTGTGTGTGTTGCAATAAACTCCGATCATCAACTTGAAAGCATGAGCAAAACTATTCATAAATATCATCAATCTCAAGTAGTTAAGATTACGATGTCTAATTAATTCCTCTGAAACATCAAAGATCATGAATAACGACATATGCGAAGTATTGCATAGTCATTCATAATTGATGCAGACCTAAGGCAAACATATTCATCTTTTCGTAGGATTGCAGAAAAAATAGTGTCGAGTTACCAACATCGATGGCAAATCCATTGTAACTTTCCATATGCAAATAACAAGTCCATATGAGTTAGATTTCTTAGGAGAGATATCAGTAAATGATATGATATAAGATTTATAATTGTACCTTAAATGTTATATACAATTTCAATTTGGGCTTCCGTGGTCCTGTTACAGTATCCATATAAACTGAACTTATATCTTAAATGTTATATATAATTTAAATTTGTACATCGAAGCACCTATACTTTAAAGCACCATAGAAGGACTCAGCTAATAATTGCCAAGTTTTTTTCACTAACAAGAAAAATCGGACCCCCAAATGAAAACTCTAATCCACCCATATTGTATAATCGAACATGAGGTTCTAACTTCTAGTCGATAAGTCTGTAATATCATATTTTGTACTTAATTCATAATGGTAAAATATTGTATCGGCTAGAGCTCCAATCGATAATTTTTCATGTGGAATTTAGAAAAAAACTTAATTCTTGTTGATCAAATCCATTAATCACCAAAGCGAACCAAGTAACCCCGACCGGTCCACAAACGAAAACGGCACCGTTACCTCGTCGTTTGGGCTTCCGTGGTCCGGTTACAGTATCCATATTGGAGAGATACCTCCTTCCCCGCTCCGTTTATATATAAATACAGAGAAAAGTTGGACCGCTCCAAAGTCCAAAGTCCAATAAGCCGCTCGCCCCAAGCCCAAAATCCCTCTCTCTCTCTCTACCCCGTCGGTCTCGTCCCTCTCTCGCTCTACTCCTCGCGGGCCTCTGCGACAAAAACCCTAGATCCAACCCCGCCATAGTTCGCCGGAGCTCGGCCGCCGAGCTTCACCCCCTCTTATCTGATCGGACATCCCCTGCCGTGACTCCTCGTCAAGTCCTCTCTCTCTCTCTCTCTGTCTCGCCGCAGGTAAAAATCCCTAAACCCTAATTTTGTTCTCTTATTTGCTCCCCCCTTAGCTTCTCGCGCTTCCCGTTTCTCTGTGTTCGCTCTATGATTGTTGCGCTGCCGTATTTCTTCGCGCTTTACGTTTTTCGTATTCGTTGCGGGAAAGCTCTCTGGGCGGGAGTTCCTGGCGTTCTCCGGGGAGTCTTATTGGCTTCCTTCTTGGTTGTTCTATTCGGCTATTCAAAATTGTTTGGGGATTCCGATGTTTTTGTGGGTTTTTCTTTGGTACTCGTCGTCCGCCTATTTGCTTTTCCGGCGACTCGACCTTCGGGGATTTGTTTTTGGTTTTCGGCGCCGGGGTGGGTGAAGTTCCCGCTATTGCCTTCTTCTACGTTTATATGGTGTTGTAGTTCTCTATTCACCCAGCTGGGTCGATGACTCGATTGCTAAAACTCGTCAATTATGGGCCTACCTGATAAGACATAGTAGTCTCATAGACATAACATTCCAAAGGCCCATCTATTGTCGAGTTTTATAGCAAAAGTCTATAGCTTTCTCTCTGTTTGCTCTCCACTCTTAGACAGGCCTAAGTAATAAGTAGTACCATACTGTTCCTTCCATGGATGCATCGGAATCTCTTTTCCTTGGTTGTTTATCAGGTGTTCAATATTAGTGTTCTGGTGTTTTAAGTACGTGCTAATGTTTCTCTGGTTTTTGGTGTTGCTTGATTGATTGACCAGTGAAAGTGGCTTTGGAGAAAAGATGGAAATCCCTGAAGAGAAGTATGAGCTGACACCCGTGGAGAATAATGTTAAGCCAGCAAGGCGAAGGAAGACCAAGTCCCGTGTCTGGAACTACTTCACAGTCGAGAGCGTCAGCGCGGAGTGCAAAAGGGCGTTCTGCAACACCTGCAGGAGGAGCTTCGCTTACAGCACGGTACAAGAGAATGGCAGCACGAAAGTAGCCGGTACTAGCCACCTCAAGCGCCATCTCGAGAAGGGAACCTGTGGAGCCACAACAGGGCTCGATAACAATAACGAAGGCGATGGTGACCAGACAACTCCTTTTACTCCTTCAACCAGGACTCGTCGGACCAGAGCCAATAGTGCGTCTGGTGCAAGTACAGGGGTCAGCGAGTCGAGAAAGCGCCGCTACAGATCTCCTGCCTACACGGCGGTGTTCAATCCTGATATCTGCCGCCATGACATTGCTCGAATGATCATCATGCACGATTACCCTCTTGACATGGTCGAGCATCCTGGGTTTCAAAGTTTCGTCCAGAGTCTTCAGCCACAGTTTGGTGCAGTCAGCTTCAAGACCATCCAAGGAGAATGCGTCGCATCTTACTTGAGTGAGAAGCAAAAGGTGATGAGGTTGATCGATGCGATGCCAGGGCGAGTCTGCCTTTCTCTTGACATGTACATGTCGAGAAACAGCGTGGGTTATGTGTTCATAACGGGCCACTTCACCGACAGCAATTGGAAGACCCAAAAGTTGATTCTCAATGTTGTCCTCGAACCATATCCTGATTCACATAATGCCCTCAGCCATGCCGTTGCTTGTTGTCTCTCCGACTGGAGGTTAGAAAGCAGGCTCTTTTCCCTCACATTGAACCATCCAGTGCCTGAAGCAGGGCTGGAGAATCTCCGGTCTCATCTATGCGTCAAGAATCCACTCATACTCAACGGTCAGCTCTTGCTCGGGCAATGCATCTCTCAGACTTTCACCGCCATGGTCATTGACATGCTGTCTGCGGGACGTGACATCATTAAGAAGATCCGTGACAACATGAAGTACGTCACCACTTCGCAGAACCACGTGGACAGGTTCGTTGATCTCAAGCGGCAGCTTCAGGTCCCCGGCGAGGTACGTTTGTTCCTTGACGACCAGAGTCAGTGGAACACGACTTATCAAATGCTAGTTTCTGCCTCGGACCTAAAAGAAGTCTTCTCTTGCTTGGACACTGTTATTCCTGAATACAAACTAGCTCCGAACATGGAAGATTGGAAGCAGGTTGAAAGCATCTGCACGTACTTGAAGCCTCTCTCCGATGCAATGAACTTGCTCGTCTCTTCCTCTTGCCCTCCTGCAATCACACTGTTCCAGGAGGCGTTTAGCATCCACGCTAAGATTGCTTGTGCAGCAACCAGTGGCGATCCGTTCGTCTGCAGCTTCATCAAACCGATGCAGGACAAGATAGAGAAGTACTGGAAGGAATGTGGGTTAGTTCTCGCGATTTCTGTAGTCATGGATCCTCGCTTCAAAATGAAGCTCGTGGAATTCAGCTTCTCCAAACTCTTCGGAGAGGAGTCTCCTCTCTACGTTAAGATGGTCGATGATGGGCTACACGAGCTGTTCGACGAATACCTAACTCTTCCTCTACCACAATCGCCAGCTTACAGTGTCAATCATGGGAACGTTGATCGAGCGGACGAGCACCAGGGAGGGAATCTTTCTGAATACGGGCTGGCAGATTTTGATATGTACATCATGGAGACGACAAGCCAGCAGTTGAAGTCGGAGATGGACCAGTATCTGGACGAGAACCTCGAGGGGCGGAGCTCCAATTTCGACCTGCTGGAATGGTGGAAACAGAAAAGGTCGAAGTACCCGACGCTGTCGAAGATGGCGAGGGATATCTTGAGCATACCTGTGTCGACTGCCTCGCCCGAATTGGTGTACAGTACCAGGCCAAGGGAGCTGAGCCCGCATGCAAGGTCAGAGACTCTGGAGGCGCTTGTGTGTACTAAGGATTGGTTGCAGCATGGGTTGCCGGAAGATTTCGCAGGATTAGACAGCTTGGCGGTGTCGGATCTTTCGAATCCTGCCTTGAAAATAGAGTTCTAGGACTAGGATACTGCTCTATGGTTGTCTCATCAAATTTTCACAGACCTTGGTATTGGGGTAGGATGGTGTTTTATTTGCTTTGTTTTGGCATTTTCTTCTAGGTATTTTAGTAGGAAATTCATAGTCATTAGCTCATGATCGGTTAGGCTAACTGTTTCTCATTTCGATTTACTATTATTGTACCATTGGGATGGAATTGAAGAAGGAAGTTGATGGATTTGCTTGGACATGGTACCTAATTATGGGTTCTGTTACGTGCTTGTGTACATTAACATAATCTGTCAACATAAATTTCTTAAGGACCCAAAAGAAGCAAAATCAACAAGTATTTGAGAATTGCTGTTCTGTATTCTAGCTTGAGTTTTGTGTTTGCAACATCAAGTGGAAGACTGGATCAACAAGTATTTGGGAATTGCTGTTCTGTGACATAGCTTGAGCATGGGATACAATGTTGCAGGCGAATTTGGTCACAAAAATTCGACGAAATCAGCAGTTCAGAGAGGCCAGATTCCCCTAGCTTGCTGTTGCGTTTTCTTCAATTGTTCTCTTTATGATACTGCTATACCTTCCTCTACATTATCATTCTACCACTAATCTCTCTTTTGCAGCGATCTCTCTCCTTCTGCTGCAAAATTAGGAAGGGTATAGGAACCGTTCCAGGGACGAAATGTTATTCTGAACAATATCATGCAGAATAGGATGTTAACTTGTCATATCATGGAGTTACGTTTTATGATTACCTTGTAGGACACAGTCAGCATACTTCAGAAAGAAATATGTTCCTGTTCTCCTTCAGTGCTGGATTTTCTTTTGAGGTGTTCCTTCATCACATGAAGCTACATCGCAGATAAGAGAGAACACTGTTCAATAACAAGAAGAAAGCAGGCTTCGAGTGTAATCATCTTATCTTAAGAAATGAACCCAGGCATAAGCAGACAGATACACACTGAGGAATCCCAGCAGAAACATACGAACTGCACCATTCTAGTGTGCACGGGATACATCTTGTTCTGCAAGCAGTTTTCTACCATCCTTCGCTTGTTCCAAGTCTTTCAATGAACCCATAGCAGCAACAGTTTTGTGCTGATCAGAAGGGAACTTGTCCGAAAGCCCTTAAATGAACTATATTATCACACCCGTCAATATTTGAAGAACCTGCGAAATTTATAATAGGTCAAGGCAGGGCAGAAGATTCAAAGGTGGCTGTTGGCTTTAGCATTTTGATTCATTTCACAAGTTTCAGTGTTAAATTTTTCTGTATTACTACTAAACAAGGACATGCCCGATAATTTTGTTTGATTAGGTTGTGCAGTCTTTAGCTACCTCTATAACTCATGCCACTATTTCATATGCCAGTCCAGGTACTATATGTATGAATTATTACCCTAAACCATTTTCGTCAATGCTCACCTCATTACCTGATGTGGCAGGACATTCTTGGATAACAGCTTAATACACTTCATTGCGTTTTCATTTCATGGAAAAGCTGCTGCAGAAACAAAATTTCCTCCATGAATTGTCGGCAAGCTGTCACGGATAACCAATCACTGAAGTTAACTTCAGTTCCCGAAAGTTATCCAACTCTGCCCTGAGGGCTTAACCGACCCTCTGCGTTCCATTTCCTTTCTTGCCTTTACAGCATCATCCCATCTACCAGCTTCTGCGTATATATTAGACAAAGCCACATAATGTCCTGCACGTTCGGGTTCCAGGTGGATTAACTTCTCAGCAGCAAGCTTTCCAACTTCTACATTTTGCTGGTCAAGGCAGGCTGCCAGTAAGGCCCCCCAAACAGACTTATCAGGCTCCAGGGGCATTTGATGAATGAAATTGATGGCAGCTTCTAGCCTACCTACACGTGCTAGCATGTTGACAACACATGAGTAATGTTCCATTGTGGGGACAAATCCATATTCTCCGGTCATGCTCTCGAAGAGTTTAATGCCCTCTTCTACAAGGCCTGAATGATGACAGGCTGATAGGACCGAAGTAAATGTGAGAGCATCAGCACAAACTCCCACCCGCTTCATGTCCTGAAGAAGACTCAAAGCAGCTTGTGCAAGCCCATGCATGCCAAATCCTCTGATCATTGCGTTCCATGTTACTAAATCTCGGATTTTCGATGTTGTAAACACTGAGTATGCGGTGTCAACTTTCCCACATGTGGAATACATGTGTATGACTGAATTCCAAACTGCAACACACTGATCGAAAATGTGTTTCATGGCATAGGCATGAATCTGCTTTCCGTGCTTCAAATCACAAACTGGTAAAACAGTAGATATGGTTGTCTGATCATTCTGGATATCTGATCTTTGCATCTCACCAAAGCATTCGAGTGCTAAATCCCTTGACTCAGATTCTACAAAGGCCAGTATCATTGCGTTCCAGGCAACAACATCTGATTTGTCCATTACTGCAAACACAGTTCTAGCATAATGAACTGAGTCACATTTAGCATACATTGTCATTAAAGCTGGACCAGCTGATCTGTAAAATCTCCCCCCAGGTTGTTGAGTTTTGATTCCATAACCATGGATTGCCTTCCCACACATTAGAGCACGCAGATGGCGACACGAAACAAGGACAAGTGAAAGGGAATCTACATCAGGAAGAATCCCACCTTCATTCACCATATCCTTGAAAATTACCAAACATGTAGCATACTTGCCAGCTCGAGAATAACCAGATATTAGAGTGGTCCATGAAATGATATCGGGGGTTTCAATCTGTTCAAAAACTTTTGAAGCTTCATCACAAAGCCCCATCCGGAAATATGCATCCATCAACATGTTAAATGTAATGACATCAGGCTTAATACCTTCCAACTTCAAACCACCAAAAAGCTGCACAGCTGAATCTAGCAACCCATTACTAATGTACCCAGAAATCATTGAATTCCAAGTAAACAAATCTCTTTCTCCCATCTCCGCAAAAACCAACCTCCCACTCAACACATTTCCACACTTTGCATACATGTCGATCAAAGCATTGCACACATGAAAGTTCCGCTCGTAGCCATAAACAACCACACCTCCATGGACCCACGTCCCTCCATCCAACCACGCCAACTGAGCACACGCTTTCAGAACTTTTGGGAACACTAAGTGATCCGCAGAGACTCCTTGAGACTTCATCAACCCATAATTCACCAAGCAGTCCTCGTACATCCCATGCCTCGAGAAGAACCCGAGAATCGCTGTCCAAGCAAATACATTCGGGTTTGGAAATAATTCAAACAGCTTCCTTGAAGAACACAGATCATCACAATCCGCGTACATTTGGACCAGCTTAGTCACCACGAACGGGTTACCGCTAGACCCCAATGCAATGACATGCTGATGAATTTGTTGGCCTTGATTCAGAGATTTGGAATTGCTGCACAGTTGAAGCAAGCGGGTGAGTTTGGAAAAAGACGGGCGCTCTCCCTCGATTCCTCCAATAGAGCGAAGATTGTTCGCCTTCCGCCATAAGCTCATTTCCTTGAGTTCGTGTAGAAAAAGTTGGATGCTTGATAGGAACCAATCAGAGAAAAATCAAGCACCAATTAACATCTCCCCTCTACTTCACGAATCAACTGGATATGTTCATAGGTGAATTGCAGGAAAGGCGATAACTTGACAACCATGTGAAGGAAATTGCCATGTTTTCTTCCCCCCCCCCCCCCCCCCCCCCTGTTTATTAAAAAGGGACGCATAATGCTTGAGAATATTCAGAGCTTAAAATTAACCAACATCCAAAAGGAAAAATTGGAATTAGAAGATTTACCAGGCTGAGTGAGGTCGCAAGCAGTAGCAATTTCTTTCTAGGGGAGATTTCACCACAGTCCAAGCATGCTTCAGGTGTTTATCTCAGAAAAAAGGGGGAAGAAATACTTCCGATGGGCATCTGGGCTGTTTCTGGCTGCCAATAGTTCAATGGTTTGTCCGCCGTCGGCAGCCGGAGGAGGAACGGCTCCGCGCCTGGAGATAATTGCCGTTCGCCACTGTGGAACTCAAACTGCAGGTACTTTCAAGCCAATTGCTAACTTGCTATTAGGGAGGGCTTTTGGCCCACACAACTGAACCATTCCAGGGAGTGATAAAATGGGCCCATTTCGGCAGGCCCAAGTCATTCTACGAATAAGTGATCCATGGATAAGCTTTTTTCTTTACCTTTTTGGCAGGAAAAAAGGAAAAGAAAAGCGGGCAAATAAAAATAAACTGAACCGTACGATTTCAAAACCCTAAAACCTGAGTTTAGGTTAGAGCTCTTCTGTTGTGCGGCGATAACTCGATCTGGTCCATTTCTGTGAGAAATTTTCTCACTTCGCTGCCGCCGCCGATACTGATTGGCTATTGCTGCTTCAATTGATCGACAAACATGGCTTCCAAGTTCTGGACTCAGGTTCGTCACTCTTACAGATATTTTCTCTCTCTGCAATTTTTGTTCCCCTTCCGTTCTCAATCTGATTCGTGCGGTGTTTGTGTTGTTGTTGCGTAGGCCGGTGCTTCTGATTCCGATGAGGAAGAGGAGCAGAGCGAGTACGAAGACGAAATCGAAGATGCCGGCGGAGATCCATCGGCCGCCGACGCGAAGAATCGGTATCTCAGGGCAACCGATACCGACAGCGACGATGATGATGGCCAGAAGCGTGTGGTTAAGTCGGCCAAGGACAAACGATTCGACGAGATGACGTCTACCCTCGAGCAGATCAAGAACGCGATGAAGATTAACGACTGGGTGAGCTTGCTGGAGAGCTTCGACAAGATTAACAAGCAGCTGGAGAAAGTCATGCGGGTGACTGAAGCTGTGAAGGTCCCTAACCTCTACATTAAGTCCCTGGTGATGCTGGAGGATTTCTTGAATCAGGCCATGGCGAATAAGGAGGCCAAGAAGAAGATGAGTACCAGTAATGCGAAAGCGTTGAACTCGATGAAGCAGAAGCTTAAGAAGAACAATAAGCAGTATGAGGAGCTCATAAATAAGTATAGGGAGAAGCCTGAGAGTGAGGAGGAGGCTGATGATGACGAGGATGAAGATGCTGATGACGACGAGTCCGACACATTTGCTGAGGATGTCAATGCGATGTCCGATGAGGATGAAGAGGAAGATGATGGGAAGGACGACGACCAAGCGGAGGGCGAGGGCGGCTGGGAGAAGATGATGAGCAAGAAGGAGAAGCTCATGGATAAGCAATTCATGAAGGACCCTAGTGAAATTTCTTGGGATGTGGTGAACAAGAAATTTAAAGAAGTTGTTGCAGCTCGTGGTAGGAAGGGCACTGGAAGGTTTGAGCAGGTTGAGCAGTTAACTTTCTTGACCAAGGTTGCCAAGACACCTGCCCAGAAACTTGAGATTCTCTTCAGTGTTGTGTCTGCTCAGTTTGATGTGAATCCAGGGCTTAACGGTCACATGCCTATCAATGTGTGGAAAAAATGTGTGGTGAACATGTTGGTTATCCTCGATATAGTTTTCCAGCATAGGAACATTGTTGTGGATGATATGGTTGAGCCGGAAGAGAATGAAACACAGAAGGGAGCAGACCATGAGGGTCCTGTTCGTGTTTGGGGAAATTTGGTGGCCTTCCTTGAAAGAATTGATGTCGAGTTTTTCAAGAGCTTGCAGTCCACTGACCCCCATACCCGTGAGTATGTTGATAGGCTGCAGGATGAGCCTATGTTTTTGGTTCTTGCTCAAAATGTCCAGGAGTATCTTGAGCGAGGAGGGGATTATAAAGCAGCAGCAAAGGTTGCTTTGAGACGGGTTGAGCTTGTGTACTACAAACCACAGGAAGTTTATGATGCTATGAGGAAGCTGTCTGAACAAACTGAAGGTGGAGACAATGGTGACGATAAGGCGGAAGAGAGTAGAGGCCCACCTGCATTTGTTGTTGTTCCTGAGGTTGTGGCTCGGAAACCCACTTTTCCCGAGAGCAGCAGAACAATGATGGACATGTTGGTGTCTCTCATATACAAACATGGAGATGACAGGACAAAAGCCCGAGCAATGCTTTGTGATATATATCACCATGCTCTACTTGATGAGTTCTCCATTGCTCGTGACCTGTTGTTGATGAGTCACTTGCAGGATAACATTCAGCATCTGGACATTTCTACTCAGATCCTTTTCAATAGGGCCATGGCACAGCTTGGTTTATGTGCATTTAGAGTTGGGCTGATCACCGAAGGACATGGTTGCCTCTCGGAACTATATTCTGGTGGAAGGGTGAAAGAGTTGCTTGCGCAAGGTGTATCCCAAAGCCGATATCATGAGAAGACCCCAGAACAGGTAACTTTACATTGTGTTTTACTTGTCCCTATGAAAGTCTTGCTTATTCTCTTACCGTTTCATCTTGCTCGATGTTTGTTGCTGAAGCCTGATGTTTACATAGAAGCGTGTAGCTAATAACATAAGTAATTGATTGAGAACCGCCTTGTCTATTGAGATAATCCGAGTTTGATGTATGTTGATGACTATTGCTTTTTTTGTTTGTTTGAATTAAAGGGAGCAGCTTTCTTGAGCCCTCCATAACATAAGTAGTTATGGAGGATGAAAGTCGCCTAGCACTTTCTGGATTTGAACCTAGGTGCCTTTATTACCTGGAAATAGGAAGGCTTTGTTCAATTGCCCATAAAAACTGAAACTCCATGAACTTATTTCTGGTACTTGTCTGCTCATAGACATGGTAGTTTAGTAATGTAGTTTTAGAGGATATCCAGGTTGGATATGTCAATGAGCTGAATAGTTGGATTAACCATCATACTGTGGTACATTAAATCATAAATTCGTAACTGAGTTCTCACATTCTTTCATGTACTAGGTAAGCTTCAATTCTCTTCAGTTTTTTTTTTGGTCCAGTTTGATGGTTAGTGAACAGTATATAGCAGTGTCCTACTCTCTATGGAAAGGCCAGCTGTGGAAAATCTTCATTTACATGTTCTTTTTCTGCTGTTTTATTATTTTCATGCATGTCCTCAACTGATGCATATTGTTGTGAATAATTGATATACTAACAGGAGAGGTTGGAAAGACGACGCCAGATGCCATACCACATGCACATCAATCTCGAGCTTCTAGAAGCTGTCCACCTCATCTGCGCCATGCTCCTCGAGGTCCCAAACATGGCAGCCAACACCCACGACTCCAGGCGCCGACTCATCAGCAAGACATTCAGGCGCCTTCTCGATATTAGCGAGAGGCAGACTTTCACTGGCCCTCCTGAGAACGTCAGGGACCACGTGATGGCTGCGACTCGAGCCCTCACCAAGGGAGACTTCACCAAATCCTTCGAGGTCATCCAGTCCCTTGACATCTGGCGCCTTCTCAAGAACAAAGAGGGCGTCCTCGAAATGCTCAAATCCAAAATCAAGGAGGAAGCTCTCAGAACCTATCTGTTGACCTACTCCTTGTCCTACAACTCCATGAGCTTGGAACAGCTGATGAACATGTTCGACTTGTCGAGGGCCCAGACCCACAGCGTGGTGAGCAAGATGATGATCAACGAGGAGCTGTACGCAAGCTGGGACCAGCCAACTGAGTGTGTCGTGTTTAACGATGTCGAGTACTCCAGGCTGCAGGGTTTGGCGTTCCAGTTGACCGAGAAGCTCTCGGTGCTCGCGGAGAGCAACGAGAGGGCGATGGAGTCTGGTGGTGGCGGCGGGATGGATCTCCCGATGCGGAGGAGAGAAGGGCAGGACTATGCCAATGCTGGTGGTGGTGGGGGTAAGTGGCAGGATAACTACAATCAGCAGGGAGGAAGGCAAGGTGGCGGCGGTGGGCGTTCAGGAGGGTATGGTGGTGGTGGGAGATCTGGACAAGGTGGTGGTAGAGGCGGGTATAACAGGGGGAGCCAGGTACGAGGCGGCGGCTCTCGTTATCAGGATTCGTCGGCATATGGTGGTGCGCGAAGGACGGCTAGTTCGGCTGTCAGGGGCTCTCAGATGGATGGTTCTACCCGCATGGTCAGTCTGAATCGCGGAGGTCACCCTTAGACGAAACGAGTCGAGCCCTATCAGTCTTTCTGTCCCTCAAGTGAGAACGAAGTTTTGTGATTTGGATTTTGAGCAACAGCCTTACTGTGTTTTCCCGTCGAGGGAAACTTGAAATCAGGTAGCAGCGCGCAGGGAGACATTACCCCTTGTTTTTTTTTTTTCCCTTGGAGAATAATTTCAATTATTGTTAGAAGTTTGGACTGGTTTTAGAACTTGTGCTCTTTTTCTATTTGTAAGGTACTTAAAATCTTATTTATGGTCGTGGAAGTTTGGAGACTGGTAATTTTGTTTCCAGAAGTTATTCTTGTGGGTCTGTTTTTCTCGATCTCTGTTGGTTTGTTTGTGCTAATGGTTGAACGGACTTACTATGTTGTGGGTTGTGGTCTCGTAGAAAATGTAGTCAAAATCACGTTTTATCGTATACACTTAATCTTGGACTACAAGGCAGTAAAGTTTGCTGGTCATGTCGACGCCCAACAATTTGGTCATGTCGAAGCCCAACCTAA